CCCTTCTCCTTTCCGGGCCCCCCCGGGGGGGGGGGGGGGGGGGGGGGCGTACTCTTATGTTTTGCATGCCTTAGCGGTTAGACCATTGACCACGCGTCCTCGAGAGGACGGAGGATTGTTCTCACAGGACCGATCACCGATCGCCAATCGTTCCTTCCTATTTTGCCAAAGGTGGCCCAAAAATGTCTTCCCTAGACTATCTATCCTACCTATATATCACTTCCCGCCTTTTCAACCCACTTCCTATGCCCCAGTACAGCTAACGTCTCATCCTGGCTATCCCATGCCTCAAACATCTCCCTGCACTTTTCTTCTGCTTTTCCCAGCTCAGTCATGTACATTTCACTCTCCTTCTTGTACAGTCGACATTCCGCGACCACATGAACACGGGCTTCACTCGGGGGGGTTCTGTTTCGCTTCACGTTTGCCTAATCGAGCTGACCCGTCGCCACAAGCTACTTGTACGTTTTTTCCTATAGAACCACCGCCCCGCCAACGTCGAGAAACCAATGCGCGACTTGTGAAAACTCCGCTCGTAGGGTCTTCGCAAGTTGGGGGAGTGCCTCATGCCGCTGAGTCGCATCCGCGCGTTTATCGGCGTTGACGGAGGGCCGACTCCCCGAGATGCCGTGCTGCTCAAGTCCCTCCTTATCGTCCACGAGGGGATTGCCTGGGCCGTAGACCGGCCCCACTACAGGTAGGCTTTGTGCCGGGCGGTTCGAACCGGCTGCTGCTCGTTCAACTCGTGCTGCTGTCGTTGTTGGCGTCCTCGTTTTCTTGACAAACAGCCCTCACTATGTACCCCGCACACGCACGCTTACATATTTATCCTAGTCAACACGCCGAGGATGCTTGAGTGCTGGCATCAGGGCACAGACAGACAAAGGCTACAGCCTGTGCAGGAAAACCAAGGGCAAAATAGCAGTCAACCCCCCTCTGCAAGGGAAGCGTACTGGGAACTGTCTTGACGCTGTTGTTTTTTTAGCGGGTGGGATGCGGGGACAATCGAGATCGTCACAGAACAACCCGTTTGGTGGCTGCCAATGCAAACCGTCCATCTAATAGGATGCTCTCTCCTTGGTCTGCCATCCTGCCATCCCAACCCCGCCCCTCCACGCCCACCGCCCAACCCCTAACCCCTCACCTGGAAACCCACGACTAAGGAATTACCGAGAAGAGATCATCCCCACCGCCCTGGAGCTGTACGCCTCTCTGGCGCAAGACGTGCTCGAGGGCGTGGACCTGGAGGTGGGCCACACGCTGCCCGAGAGCATCTTCGTCGTGACCGGCACCGCCCGCCCTTCTTGGCCTCGATGGGGTGGGAGCCCCTCGGCAGCGACGGCGACACCGCGGTTGATCGAAGGAGGAGCGGGCAGGGGGTCCAACGACGTCGACGGCCCGGATACCACACGCAACAACGGGAGCGGGGGCACGGGCTTCGGTCGGTCGCCCAGGGAAGCGAGCGGTAGGGGGCGCGGGATGACGAGGGCCAGGGAGTTCCTGCCGGGACCGTGGGTTGTGTTCCGCGTGGCTCGGGGGGACTATCTGGAGTTCTACCGGGACCAGGCGGCGGTGCTCGATCAGGCGGTCGGTGGTTCGGTCGCAGAGATGGAGAACATGCTGATGTGAATTTTTCACGCGGTGGATTCTTCCGTTGTTCAGTCCCAAAAGTGAAGTATACGGGTGTGTGTTCTCCCGAAAATAGAGGGTCGGGCTTGCTGCAGAAGGTGATCTCCAGCGGTTCATGGCGCTTGGGGCGTCTCCATGTGGCATCGCGAGTAGCAGTTGTACACTTTTTCTCCGGTGTGTGACCAGGCTCTAGACATTGAACATCCCCGCCCAACAACTACTGCCTGGCTCTGTTGCGTTTCAGTATTTTGAGTGACGTGTCTTGTCCATTTCAGAGTGTCGCCACTGGTCGGAGATATCGGACGAAAGAAAGTCGGACGAACAGCGGCGGTAGTTCTTACCGCCTCCCCGTCTCTTCCACGTAGCACAGACCGGTCGAGCTGGAATACCTGTTTAGACTTGTCTGCAGGAAGGATTGCGTGTTGTATAGACCCTTTGGCATTCCGAAGGTGATACCGCCGTTAGGGTCTGTGATAGGGTTGAACGTGTATGGGGAAGAGGACTGTGTTATACCCTCTTGGGTGTTAGGAATAGTTTTGTCAGCAAGGCGTGGCGTCCGAAAGCAGTCGATCCCTTGGGTTGGACCAATGTCGCACACGAAAAAATAAATTGTAGTAGCCTGAAAAACCCTGTCGAATAAACGCGAATGATTGAACCTCTATGTTTGTTTGTCATCACCAGCGATGTTTCTGAGGGAGGGAGACGTGGAGGGACGACTTCCGCCTACCCACCCATATTCCGTATGATCCCGGATCGGACTCTCCTCTCGAGCGCAAAGGTTCTCTAGTGTGCACAGCAGTGTTCATATTTCCTTGAGGAAGACGATTGTGGCGAAAGGCCTGACTTCGATTCGCCCTAACCCGGGGTTTGATTGCGAAGGAATTCAAAACTTCAAGTACTTGTTGTTGTATCGACGTTCCTGAGATCTGGGAAAGTGCCAATAGGCGACTACCACTTCGGGTCTCCAACTCTTCCGTGTGGCCCCAGACCGGATAAACATCCAAGACACAGAGAGGCAGTGACCATTGCGCCCGCACTAAAAATCACGCAACAAAGAGGTGCAACGACCGGCTGTGTATCTTGGCAGCAACGTAAGGCTTAGTGTGCGGCTAGACCAGTGGTAGTCTCGCCCTCAGGGTGTGTGACGTCGCGCTAAAGGACACGCAAACCAACACCAACATTACTCTATCAGACGAGTGTACAACAAGCAGGCAGCTTCGAAGTAAAAAGAAGCGGCCTGCGTTGCGTTGACTGCACCGGTTGCATTGTGCAGTTGCAGCTCATGCCTTTCACGCGAAGCAAGGTCATCAACGCGTCGTCCTCTCTTGTGACCTTGTGCCCCCTCTAGATTTGGTACCCCGCGAGCTTTTCTCCCTGGAGCCTTTCTCCCTAGACCTAGAACTCTTGTCTCGTGAGCCTTTCCCCCTCGACTCTTTCTCGTTCGACCTGATCTTGCCGTGGCCACCCTGTTCGTCTCGGCTAGCTGGTGATCTGGCTGCCCATTGCCGCCGCTGCTGCTCGCCGAATGCTCCCCCACTCCTGGCGACCGCCTGTTGTTTCGTAGGTATCGATCAAACGTATCACGAGGCAGCATGACGGAACCACATATATCTATCCTGCAGGAACGCTCGAAACAAAGGAGATCGAAATGGCGTTTTCTCTCATCAACGCAACATATGCCGCGATATTGCAGTCTTACGTGGATTGTGAAGAGTTTCCTCGAGGCACACAACGAGTGAACAATACCCCAAACATGAGCAACAATGGCATAAGTACATATCAGCAACAATTTGCAAAAAAAGAGATGGGAAGAGTTCGTACACATGCTACGCACATACGCTCGGTACATAAAAATGTAACCCATTCGCATGAGGTTGACCGCGTAAATGCGCCGTATTCGTTGTTGGGAGGACTGGTCTGGTCGACCATGGAATATACGTGCGAGCGGCGCGTCGTTTTCCCGCGCACAGGATATGTTGCTAAATCACGGCATCAACCGCAGCCGCGACATCTCTTTGAACTCAAGCACCGGGAATTAACCGTAAAAGGCAAAGAATGAGAGTTCGACGCCCACCCACCATTACGATCGGCGTACATGTACGCAGGTTGTTGCGTATCTGCACTCACTTTGAACACTGACGCGTAGACTAAGGTGTGGCCCAACATCAACAATGTAGGGCAATATCAACTTGCCGTCCCTAAACACATACATAAGTACGTCCTTGCAGGAGCCCTATCTGGGGCATACCTGATCTACTTGTTCCTTAAGGTTTGGGTGACCAAATATTTCGCAGGCGAACTCGTGCGCGTCGCTCGGTCGCTGCTCAAGCACTGCAGAGGGACAAACGATGCACAGCGGCCGTATGTAGTGGCCAGAACAATACGCACTTATACACGGTGAGTACACAGGGCGGGGGACGATGTAAGGCGGTACGATAGTCCTGGCGGCATAGTTTATACACAACAAGCTTGTAGATCAAAGGCGGCTAAGTCTTATCTGCAACACAAGAACTGCCGTCGTATACTGGGACCGTGATGTGCAGACTATGTAGGTAAACAGGAGAGCCAAAACATGACGCAGATGATGGCCGAAAAAAGATTGGGCCGAGTCACGGTCGTTGCCATGCATGACACTGCAGTGGGCGTATCCCTACGTTTGGACCCTATCATCTGATCAAACACCTCTTTCACAGCAATCAAACGCTGTTGCGTATTCCATATTGACAGCCATTCGTCATGCCCCACGCTTTCATTTCAAATGACGACGAATGAATATAACCTTGAATATCATCTCCCCCGTGGGGAAACGACGCAAAAGTAGGGCAATACGCAGAGCAAGTATCACCTTTTGCCATGAAATGAGCCACCATGCCTTGAAGCTCAGGATGGCCGAGCCAGTACTCCGTATCTTCCAGTGTCATCCCTCTCGATGGATCAAGGATACTCCGCATCGTGATTCGAAACCGGAGAGAAAATAGCGCGACCTCTCTCCTTACTATAGCCTCCCAGCTGCGCAGATTCCGAATTCAGCAATGAATTCCTAGTTCCGAACGAGTGGTGGGATCCCTGTTACACAGCAGTAGGTTGCTCGTCATTTCGGGTCTGGCCTCGCATGTCGCATACATATTTGCATGATGCGCAATCTTTTGGGTTGGATCTTTCACAGGGGGGCCGTAGAATGCAGTGTCGTAAAATACGTGGGGGTTGAAATATTCATTGGCGAGCCCCCTCGCTTGGCTCTCGAGTCGAGCCACCTTCTCTTCAAAGAAGGGAGGGAAAAAACTCTTCGCGACACAGCAGTCCTGGTCACCTACGAAACCGAGGGGCGCGGTCTTCCCCGCAAGGTATATGCTTGTGTGCCAGGAGTGAATCCCATCGGGAGCCCTAGAAAGGGCTGGAGTGCTACGGGAAAGGTGAGCGTGTTTGCTGTGTGTCCCGCGCTGCGTTCGAGAGAGAGCTCGGTCGTCTTTCGAGCAATAACTGGTGGGAGAGAGGAGGCGAGTTGCGGCGAGGTTGTCGCTTTTTTTTTCTGACGTGCGAGATGCTGTGCTTGAGAAAGTGGCGGGTTGGTAGCACCCCCCCCCCGCGCCGCTTGTACCCCGCGGCGGACAGCTGCGGCCGCGCACAGACAGGACCTCAACAAGATTTTCAAACTTGGGGCATGCTGTTTTCTCAAGCAGGGTAGTGTACACACATGCGCGATCGGCTGTGCCATATGTCGAGTTCCACCACAACGTGTGTAGCCTGTAGGGGTCATTTTTGGAAACGTGGTGTGTGCGTGTGTGTGTTTGAATCCGTGCCCATCTGGTTGTGTACCCAACAGCAGCAGTCAGCATGGGCTGAAGCCATGCTATTCCGATGTTGGCCCTGGGACGAAACCGGCAAGGATCGTCAAGCGGATATGTAGCGCTTGTCTGTCCGCCGTGTGGGTGTGCTTGGTTGCACACCTGTCGATTTATTTGGAGAGCGACTGCTGCTGCATGGGTTGGTTCTGGTTGGTTCGCTGAACGAAAGATGCGCGTTACGCGTCGGCATCTGGTACACCCGCATGTTGGTTGTCTAAGCTTGGTGGAGTGGCCATGCCTCCTGCAACCTCAGCAATGTTCTCGCTCCGTGAGGTTCAAACAGCAAACGACCTCTTTCTTTCTTTCATGAAATCCAAATCCACCACCCCAAGCAGAGGACGAACGACGCTACATGGAAGAATACTGCTGTATGTAACTCGAGGATCGCGCGTGATGATATGAGAACACACCTTCTCGCGAAATCCAGTGCCTCCGTGCACTTTCCGATTTGGCTGTTTCTGCAAGAACTACTGACTGTAGTGCTCAAGACCTCTCAAGACCCGCCTGCTGTGTCTCCGCGCGTCCTGTTTCAACAGCAGCAGCACCGGTCCCACCGCCAACAATATACCTAGGCTGGTCAGCACAGGCATCTGTTCTCCGACGGTGATCGGGGGGGGGGTGTCTGCCTACGGGAAAGCGGGGCATGATTCGGGCGGGTCGCACGCCATCTGCATGCTTCTCGCAGCTGGCTACGGGTATTAAGGACGTAGCGTTAGCAGATACTGCTGGTACCATTTAGCAGCAGCAGCAGCAGCAGTAGCCGGTTGTGCTCGGGCGAGAGAGGATGGACGGCGGCGTTGGGAACGAGGCGGTGGTGAAGGCGGCGACCGCGGCGGCGGCGGCGGCGGCGTCGTCGGCACCGCTGCCGCCGCAGCAGCAGCAGCAGCCGGCGAAGAAGAAGAAGCGACCCCCCTCCCAGGAAGCGGCGTCGCCCGGCGGGGCCCCCTCATCGCGGAAGAAGAAGAAGGCCCCCAAGGGGGTCGCTGGATCGGTAAGTGTTCCGTCGGTGTACCTTTGCAGTACACTTGTAGTTTGTTTTGTGGGATGTGCATAAGAAGAACGGTAGTAGCGTGCTTTCCCCCGTTGGTCGTGGTGGGAGTTCCAAAATTTTGGTGCGTTTTTCTCTGAACACGCCGGCACGCACCATGACCACGGCGGTAGCATGAGCGATCCATGAGCGCTGCAGCCGTACTCTCCGCACGTCCTGTTTAGTCACATGCTCTCAACCCTCGCGCGCAGCGAAAGGCGATTATTGCACGACCGCTTTGGCTGGATTTTCCGCTGCCTATTTAGAACAAGGCTCATTGTGTTTCGGCCTGAAGACCTCGCTTTGGAGTGACCCTTTGCCCCGGCGATGCAGCGCGCTATTATAGTAGTCTACGATATCCCCCCCCCCCCCCCCCCCCCCCGGGCCGGGGAGAAACCGGGGGGGTCCCCCCCCGGTTTTTAGGGATGCCAAGGCAA